CTCGCTTGCCCGAACTCTAATCATTTGAAATTTGCAAGTCTATATTAAGTGCTATTAAAAATTTAGTATAATTTTCGTACGTTCATCCGTCTGAATCTGTATTGCCATACAGTACAATTTTACTGAATGTGTTTACTCACCGGAATTGCGCCACAACTATAAGATTCGATCGGCAAACTTTAAATTTGAAAAAGCAGAAATCGAATAAATTTTTATAAAAATAGCGCGAAATAAATAGAATAAACATTGCACCTGGACAGTTTTTATCAGAAATATATAATAATTTACCCGTGTAACTTGTATATTTTAAATAATACCCGGGTAGCAATTTTTTCTATAGGTACATCCTTAAGATAGAATTTATAAAGTGAAAAAAAATTAGATGGGAGTTCAACCTGCAAAATCCGGTTCATATTAGTAGTCCTCCACTAATAGTAAGAATCGAAGTTGTGTGAAAAAACTGACGTTTAAAGTCGCAATTAAGCCAACCTTAATTATTGACCCGTTATAAACCGATTGTGTCAATATGATGTAATATGATAAATGCAATGCAGATCAATCTCATCCCGTTGACAGCTCATTGAAATATAACTTATATATTTCTTGATTACATATTAAGGAAAGATTACTGTAGTTCATACGTATAAATATATATATATATATATAAATATATATATAAATATTTAAAATGTCACATGAGTTAAGCAGTTAGGTTTAATACTCACAGCCACATTGCCGGATTTTCAGGACTGAATTATGTATGTACTGTACGTACGTACGTACAATTTAATATACGAGAAATGGAAATTGGCTTTATTTTACACAAATTACCGTATAAACTATTTGTAATAGATGTATACATAGTAAGTCTGCTTGAGAGATGAGTTATGTACAGTACATAGCATAAATCTATCGCATAAATTCAAAAGAATATTAAGATCTCTTGAGATTAATTTCAATAGCAGTATTAGCTGGTGTTCCCTTATTTAAAATATAAATATAAAGATGCCGCCCTGGTGGCATAATATTAGGATGTGGTGGTAAAGATACATCAACAGCGTATCCTGATGGGATTGGTATTTGGTTTTGAATTTGTAAGCTCACATATCTAGCAGACATGTGTTGAGAATGTGTAACGAAACCATGATTAATTAAAGCAGCAGTAATGCTTGCAGTGGGATCATCCAGGTCGATTAATATGGTGACTATCTCACCATATGTCGTTTGAATCGGTATTAGCGAGTTGAAGACTGTCGTACCCGCGATATTTCTGATGATAGGTCGAGGGGTGCCATTCAAAAGATATGGAGGAGTAAAAATTTCCACGCGATATCTAAAAAATTTATAAGGTAAAATTAGATAAATTATTAGTCTATGAAATATGAATATGAAAAATTCGAGTATTAAAGTATTGGTTAACTTACTCTGTAGGATATTCACAGGTAGCACAATACGCAGCATTTGGGTTACTACCAGAGATAAAAACTGTACCATCCGGGATTAAAGTTGCAGTTGAATGGTAAACACGGACATACTTTGCTTCGGCCATCCTGGTGAAACGAGAACCATTAGGGGCTTTTGGATCATAAAGTAATGGTATTTTTTGAGGTAATCTTGCAACATGTTGTCTATTGGTAGTGTCACCTTTATCTATAAAAAAAAGATGATTTTGATAATTTTTCATGAGATATTACAGGCATGAAATTTAAATACTAATAGATAGTTAAAGATTTAACGTACCCCAACCAGCATAACCCATACCAGCACCATTTACGATAAGCACTTTTCCATCAGGCATATGAATGTAATCACCCATCAAACGTCCGGTATCGAAATCACCAAAACTTTCTAAAGTCCAATTAGAATTAGGTAAGGCTAAATTAAGTCTTGCGCAATCATTTTCACTTTTAGAATCAGGTTTTTGTGCAGCAGATCCACCACAAGCGACAATTTCAGCAGTATAATTATTTTCGTAGTGTAATGGTAAAAGAAATATAGTGCCGGTAAGCGGATACGTGCGTGGACCACCAGGAATATCTGGCAAGGTTTTAACAATTTTTTGCGCAACATAATCCCAAATTATGGCTTTCTTGTTTGCTGACATATACAACCAAGTTTGATTTGGTGGACCGGGAAGCACAAATACTGATGGATATAGATTGTATGGCAACCTATATTTAAAAAAATTTTTTCTTAAAAAAAAAAATTTGTATCGAACAGAACAAAAAAAAGCTACTTACGTATCTACAAGAAATTGAAACTTTACACTACTAGAATTATCAGATCCTTTCGGAAAAAATTCATATGTAGGATTGTTGACCGCATCGTCATTAACACTTATGGCTTCTGTTGATCCACCAATATCGAAAACTCTACCATCCGGAAGCGTTGCCATAGTGTTATACCATCTTAACGATTTCATATATGATGGAAACTCTAACCAATCACAATTATCATCATCGCATGAGGTGAATAAACGAACAGACTGGAAACCTTTCTGTGCGCCAAACTAAATAAAACGAACAAAAAAGAAATTCTTAAAATTAAAATTTCAAGATATTTTGGTTTATTGACAACTTCAAAACTTACAGTATTTTCAGCACCGCCAGATTCAATCAAAGTACCATTTTCGAAGAAAGACCCTGCCGAACAGAAAGTGTTTGTTTTTAAATTAAGAGTACGACTCTTGCCCGTAGTTAAATCATATTCTGAAGAAAATGCATAACGTCCATCAGGATACACTGCATCGGGGTTTTTTTCAGCTATTTGTATGTAAAATTTAAAGTTTAAGATATATTTTAAAAATAGGTTAAAATGGGACTCCCCACAGCAAAAAGAGGGGATGGGCAAAAAAATTTGAAAATTTGTTCTTATGATAATTTTATTCTAATCAATCTGATTCTTCAAGATATTGAATTTTTTTAAAAAAAAAATTTTTGGCCGATCCCCTTTTGCTGTGGGGGGTCCCAAATGCTTTATTCGAACGCATACCTTTATCAATTATAAGAATTTTTGTAGGTCGAACTAAAACAATATGCATGGCAGCTACAGTAGTTCTAAAAAACAATGATAGTTAATCCATAGCGAGTAAACCTTTTAAAAATTCATGATACATACTTTCCGACCTCTTTCCATTCACCCCCGATAGAGGGATTTACAGTTACATTAACAGTTGAGGAATTGGCTATAAGAATTTATAAAAAAAATAAGTAATTGTAATGATATTAATTATCGTAAACACGCTTAAAACAATCAATTACTTGAAGTTATCGCATCGCATAAAGCGCCTAATGTAATTATAAGAAAATATAGGAATATAGCTTTCATATTCAATATTAACTGATTTATAAAAAAATAAGATAAACTAACTGTATTAATAGGTGGTATTTATTACTTCCAACCATTTTGGAGGAGTAAAAAAAAAAAAAGCCCTATGCATGTTTCAAATAACTTAACAAATTCCAATCTCTATTTTTAGATTAATAATCATATTCTGCGGAAACGAGACTTCCGCTTGTACTGTACACATACGCCCGGGACATTATTCACTAATTCCGTGTCTTAATACAGTAATAGATTTTAGCATCGATGTTACGTATTAAACTTTAATATCAGATATATACTCAGTTAGAGTACGGAGAAATAAAATTAGTTATCGTTGACTTTACCAGGTTTAATTTATTTATAGTTCATATAATATATGGGTAATTATTTTTGAACCCGGACCAATTTTATATGACGTAAATAACATTTTAGACTGGATTCAAAAATAATTACCTATATAGATCAACCTTTTATTATTTCCAAAAAATTTTTAAAGACAAAGGATTTACGTGATCAATTTGGAATTTATCCAACGGTCTTAGGTTTTAACTAATATTAAAACTCTTATAATTAGTCAATAATGTTTAAAACGGTTATTTGATCGATGATATAAAAAAAAATTTTTTTTTTATACTGTATATAAATCAATTTTATTTTTATATATAAATCAATTTTATTTTTAGTAAGTTTGTGACGAAATCTTGGCATTTTCAAGTGACGTACGTACGTACTCGTATAAGTTTTAAAGAAAAATATGAAGTTAAACCAGGGCTAAAATGACACATAGTATACGGCAGCCATTTACTGCGCCGCTGCCCATTGTCTGAAGTATCGTTTTGATACATCAAATTTACGAGTAATCAAATTTTAATATAATATGAATCAAAAACGACACTTATTGAATGGCCGGTATTTACTATGTGTCGTTTTAGCCCTGAGTTAAACCTATGATTTTTAAAAATTTTCGAGGTACGTACGTACATTTTTCTTTTTTTTTTAGATTTGGACTAGGATGGTTTATAATAAAAGGGTATAGATATTTCTAAATTAAGGCCCTCAAATTTCAGCATCATCCACGACAATAAATTAAGCAAAGCCATTATAATTATAGAAAGCTTGGCACGTAACAATGAGGTGCATAGCGCCGATTCAAGACGTATAATAGCTCAATTACATACAGTCAAACTCGTATAAGTACGAGTTAAAATATTTACATTTACATACACTAGTTAAGATAAAAATAAAATTTTGTTCATTGATATATGAAAACGTAATTAATTTATTCGATGGCAACTTTTTTTACAAATCATCAGTTGACATTATAAAAAAGCCGACATTAACAAGCTCATATGATAGTTAATTTTTTGGTTTACGTATTTTTTTTTCATTAGTTTTCGGATACGTGTATAGGATAATGTAAACAAAGCAATTAACTTCGCACGTGCTAATTTCTTGTGTCTTATTATTCAATATAGGGTTCATCATTTGCCGCAAGTTTAGTCATTCGTCATTCAGAAATTGTTTGATGAAAGGTTTCGACATTCATTAGACATTAGTTTTCAAGCATGTAATTTACGATTAATTGAAGTGGTCAATTGAATTTTGTTTATACTGTATTTCCCCTTTTAGATTGACTATAACCATGGCGATAGTTTCACGGTTGCATCAACATAAAAATGTTTGTATCGAATTCTGTTTATCTAACTCATCAAGAAACCATTTCATTTAATGTTCTTGTTGGAAAAGAGGATGGTCGTCCTCTTCCTCCTACTTCCGTATAGAATTCCGAGGCTTTGATACTCATTATAGAAAAAATGGGTTATTGCACTGCAAATGTGTTTTAAAATTCATAGACATAAAATTTATACGCAGTTCTCATAATGTCTGATCTACTCTCATTTAGAAGGCAATAATAATATGTAGCATGAAAACGTTAAAGAATTTGAAACTGCATTAGCGTTAGTATTTTTTTTTTGCTGGCGCACTTTTGTGACTATTCTCTATTAAACACACCAAATGCTAGGCGTTTTTAGGGGTTGGGTAAAACCCCGAAACAAAATCCAGGAAAGGTCAAAATCCCAAAAAGTTAGCTCGCATTAGCTATAATTCCAGTCAATTTTTGTCAGGATTTTGTTTGTCGGGATTCGACCCAAACCCCATTTTTACTTTGCGCAGATCATAATATGTCTATTTCTATCATAGGTATAATGGTTGTTTTCGTATATATACAAAAGACACCTATAATAAAGTTGCCGAAGCTCTTAGTCATTATTCTCAATACATTATTACTTCTGTTCCTTTCTTTAAGTGGATGTTTGGCCTTTCAGTTTTAGCTTTCGTTACATCAATTGAACATGGTGATTCATTTAATTCTCATTCTATTTCATACACTGTTAAATTGCCGCAATTATAACAGTTATTTTCTTTTGGAGAATCGTATTTTTTTTTATATACAAAACACGAAATACAACTGATTTATCATTTGGACAGTTGTTTTCATAAATTCGATAGGTCTTTGATAACTTATCACCAAAACAAGCAACTTTCAAACCAACTAATTTTCAATCAACAAAAATTTGCCAAGTTATTTTGAAACGATTGCAGGCATATGACGATACAAATATTTGACTTCAGCTTCCAAATCCTATAAATAAAAACTTTTCAATATTGCAAGACAAGATATAATATTTATTAAAATTTCGATATATAGACAGACCTTGCAGTAATCGTCCAATGGTAAGTAATTGTTGTCATAACCTAAACCATTGATAAAAGTAATAATTATTATATGAATATGAGATAACAAAACTGATAGATGTAATGTTAATTTCTCACCAAATGGATTCTCAATTTCAGAACCTAGAATTGAGTGTTCAAAGTTATTACTTAAGCATAAAACAAATAATAAAAAAGTTTATAAATTATTTCAGGCTTCTTACCAATCGCTTCAACACCAAAAAGAATAAAAGAAATTACTGCCATGGCAGGAATAGTAATCCAACCGAGATTATCAACAAGTGTAAATGGAAGAACCCAGACATACAACGTCACGGCTTGTTTTCTAAAGAAAATTTTATTGGTAAATGTCTATACATATCTTTGTTACCATAGATCTTTTAGACTCTACTTACAAATGAATCTTATAAGAAAGAGGAATTGGAGTGTTGCCAATTCTTTCAAGGCCACCAAAAATTTCAATTAGCGAATTCAAAATCCCGGCGATGGGGGAAAGATCATTACTATCAATTTTATTTTCATGCAACATTCGATCGAGATATATGCCTAGATGGAATATAATTTCCTGAAATTCAAAGGAAAAAAAAAAATCAGAATCCTCAAAATAAATTTTTTTTAAAAAAATGGAAGAAGAAATTACCAATGGAAGACTCATGCTTGCATCGACATCGTTATTTTCTGGATTGCCATCGAAATACATGGCAGCTCGATCCCGGTTTGTGAGCGAACGAAGCGCGCTGTACACAGAAGGTAAGCCACGACGATTCCTGAGTAGATTGGTGGTTTCATCTTGTTTTTCATCTTTTTTTTCTTCTTTTGATGCCGAAATTGTTTCTGGATCGTTATTAGCAAGATTAAACGTATCGTAATCAATGTTTTGAACGGCGTTACCATCAAACTTGGTAAGCTGTAGACCGCTTGGTAGTAAGTCCTCCAAATCAGACCACTTTGTTCCGAATTCTAAACGAAGATGGTGTTTAGTAGCAACAACGAATGCTAGCAAAAGTTTAATGCAGTCCTCCTTTTCTTCATGATCACGTTTTGATTTTTCTTTTACACCAACCCAGATTGCTCTGGTGGCGTTTCGAATATGATTACTATAAAAATTAATAAAAATTTATACAGTATAACGAGTCACGTTAGACATTCAAAATCCTATTATATTATTTTTGTAGAAGTAATGACACATACCACATACTACCAAACAACTTTCGACCCTCATAATATCGATCATATGCATGGTTTGTGCGAAAAGCAAGGAGAAGACCGACCACAACAGAAACAGTTCCGACTAAAAAAAAAGAAAAATGTTATTTATTTATTAAAATTGTAAGTTTCAAGTAATAAATAATACTTGCTCAAATTATCTGGAAGAGTCAAATTGATGCCACAAACTATGTAAAGGTAACATATGATAGCTGTGAATATTGTAGAGCTAGCAACTACCGGAATAATTGTACTAAATACCTATAAAAAATAAAAAGTAAATAAATAAATAAATGTTATAGGTGTAAAGTTCGTCAATATATATGTAATATTTAAATATAGATACAGAATATCTCCAATAAAAAATATCCTAAAGTCAAATAGAAAAAAAAAAAATTGTAAATTAATAGTAAAGAAACAAGAAAGAAATTTTGTACATAATCAGATAGAGATACGAACCGGCCAGCCATAACCTGGCTTTCTTGCCAACTGCACCAATCGAGAAGACCAAACGTTACTTTTACTTCCTCGAGTAGCTGTCATCTTTGAATCAAAAAGAAATTGTTGAATTTTTTAGTCTTGCAAGCATCTGGTATTTATTGTAATATTTTTGACACTAGAACTCTCGACTACTTATCCATGAAAGGAATTAGTATAATCACATTACGTAAATTATTTAAAATTTCCGAATTTAGAATTACGCCTCAAATTTCACTTAGCGTCAAAATTTCGTAAATTTACATAATATTAATGCTACGTATTCGTTTGACATCATACCTGTTACGTATTATATTTCTATTCATTATTTGAGTGAGGTCACATAAAAACTTTACGTTTGAAAATTTTAAGATCGGACTTACTGTAAATTGCAACATAAATCACATGAATTACTTATCACATAATATTGTTAATATTGTGCGTAATGCAAAAAAAAAATTGATCTACACTATTTATCATATATATATCAACTTTAACGTTATGTCAAAGGCATTTACCACACTTACTGACTCTGACCAATCAGCATCAATCACGGGACAAATCACCGCCGTACTAATTCCTTGCAAAATTTTGTTATAATTTCGTCTATCAGCTATTAGATTTAACGTAATCTAAGTAAATGTCTCACTTTAAAAAAACAATGGCATAAACACAAATTATTTCAATCAATAGAAAGAGAAAGTGTGGGTGAAAATTAGTAAATGCATGTCAAGGTGTCATGCCCTTTGCTATCATATCAATATCGATCTCAAGCATCTCTCTCTATGTGATTGGCCAATGATTGAGATCGCGCACAAGTATTACAATTAATTTAAGTAATCCTTTATGTTGCAAATGCGGATATTAAATTTTGCCAATCAGCACAACTCTGATAAAAAAGATGGTCAGAGAGACCATCTTTTTTTTTCATAGGATAATGAACTCATTTGATCGGCTAAACTATTTTCTATTAATTAAAAGTCCTATGAATTTAGGTGCTTGAGAGCATCCTTAGTCATAAAATTATTTGATATTTCAATTCCTTTGTGATTCCATTCATCTTTATAAGAAATCAACATCAACCAAAAATATCTTCTTTATTTGAAGCATACGATTTGGGCGATCTTTTTCTGAGCTGATACGTTATAGTTATTTTATAACCCATATAATAACTATTTTATTGCACGGTGTCTGACGTACAATCCCGTGCCAGTAAGTAAATGAAAAAAGCACGGGTTTGTTACATAATACTCGTGCAATAATAATAAGATACACGTCACTCTGGTTATATCGACACTCTCCAAAAACAAAAGAATTGTCCGATATATCTGGATGTCGATTTAATTTTATGTTAAGTATATAAGTTCAAAATTTTAAAAAAATATCGTTATAGTCAGGTATCGTTGTATACATCTAAAATAGCACTGGAGATATCACGAAAACAACTAAACTAAATTCGATAAAACTTGTCTTATTTTATAAACTTATAGAATTAAAGTAAACAATTCCGGTTGAATCTGATTATGTGGTTGTCGTAATATCACTAGTGCTATTTTAGATGCTAGAAATAGCTGGACACTTTGTAACCAAAGCGATGTGTAACAAAATATTATTATTATTGTTATTATTTCAACATTGAGCGAAGGTATCTCAGTAATTACCTATCTAAAATTTATAAAAAATTTAACATTTCCATAAGTAGTTATCGATCTTTGAAGTTCATTTAGGCGATTATCAAGACTGCGGCTTCAACCTTTGAGCGATGATATCTCGATAACTACCTATTTAAAATCGATAAAAAAAATCTTTATTTCAATCCTATGAAGTCATAGGATTAAATAAAAATATTCATTAATTAGATAGACAGTTATCGAGATACCACCGCTAATTTATCAAAAAATTATCAAAAGATTGCGACTAAGTTCATCCAAACTTTGAGTGATGATTCTCGATAACCACCTATGTAAAATTATAAATTTTTATTTCTATTCTATGAATTTATAGAATTAAAATAGAATAAAATAATTTATCAATTTTAGATAATAATTATCGAGGTATCTTCGTTCAAAGTTCGAAAGAAAAAATATGCCAAGACTGGCTAGCACTAGATATTTTTCAAACTTTGAGCGATATTTTGATAACTAACTACTAAAAGCTGGTAAAAAAAGATTTTTTTCAATTCTATAAATTCATAAATTAAAATAAAAAGGTTTTATCAATCTTAGAATAGGGTGGGTTTTGTGTAGACTCGGAATAGAACCGATTTTCGATTTGAAATCTAGACTTACTGCTATTTTTTCACAAATTCAGGGTCAGCTGAAACATTTCCCAATGACTGAATCGATTGTTAGACGTTATTTTCAAATTTCCGTCAATTAAAAATTGACGTATGTAACTAACTACATTAGAAAGTACGAAAAACATTGTTTTTATAAAGGTTTTTATAAGGGTTTATTTCATTTCCATTATTTTTTGTACTTAACCAATTTCTTATTAGATGTTTCGTGATATTTCGAAGAGTCTTATTAGTTGAGTTTTGTACCGTGCTTCATAAAATCTTCAATAGGATAACCACAGTTATGTTCATCCAACTGAATATTCAACTCTTCGATAACTCCAATTTTAACTAATTTAAAGGTATTAAGAAGCTTTTTAAAACAGCTAAACAGCGATCATATTGAAACGAAAAAAAATGAATGACTAATAAAGTATTTGAAGCCATTTGCAAAGAAAATAATAAAAAATCAATAAAAATTTTTTTTAAAAAATTCTTTTATTAAACATACTTTAGATTTGATGTATGTACAATACGTTACATTTTAATCAGTATAAAATTTAAATTCACGTATGTCAATTATTAATTTGAAAGCGATATCTAATATGGGGTCTTTGCCTTGAAAATGACCTTACGGTACATGATACCGTAGGGTCATTTTCAAGGCAAAGACCCCATAT